CAGGGAGGTGGTGGAGTCTCCTTCTCTGGAGACATTCAAACCCACCTGGACACGTTCCTGTGGGACCTGCTCTGGGTGGCCCTGCTCTGGCAGGGGGTTGGAGGAGATGATCTCCAGAGGTCCCTTCCAACCCCATGTCATTCTGTGATTCTGTGATGCTACAGCAAGGGGAGCATCATCCTGGTGGGCATCACCCATACGTAGGAGGATGAGGATGAGTGGAGTGAGCAGCTGGGCCCTCCGTGGGGATGCAGAGGGGGGTCCTGCCCCAGCCCTTCCCCCCACCCCCAGCACTCACCCAGGATCTTGCTGATGCTGGAGTTGTGCATGTCTGGGAAGGCCTGCAAAATCTTCCTCCTCTCGTCCTTCGCCCACACCATGAAGGCGTTCATGGGCCGCTTGATGTGGTTGTTGTTCCTGGACTCGGGGAAGTGCCGTGAGCCTGGAGGGGAAAGCACCGGCCGAGGTCAGGAGCCAGAGGACAGAGCAAGAGGTGGTGGGGGTCACACCAGGGTGCTCTCAGATGTCCTCACCGTCCATCTCACAGGTCAACAGAGCCTCGTCCAGCCGGTGAGCAGGGGTCTCCTCCATCCGCTCCTTCACTGGGGAAGAATCAATCCCGCCGTGGTCCTGCAGGAGAGCGGAGGGTCATCAGGAACCAGCTCCAAGCCATGGAGCCCACCTGGATGGAGACCCAGCTCTGACACCTGACAGTGGGGTCAGAGAAGGGGATGGTGACCGCCCCGTGGGGTCTCCTTACCTTGCGGTAGGGGTTGCTCAGGGACCCCTCCATGGCTCCGCTGTGGCCGTGCAGGAGCTGCCGTGCGTCCTGGATGGCTTTGGTGATGGCATCACCTTCACCCAGGAACCCTGGCAGCACAACAGCACCCATCAGCACCAGCGCCCACTCCTCCGACACCCCACAGCACCCCATCCCACCCCAGAAATCACAACTGTATGTGCCAAGGGGGTGGCACAGAGCAGTAGGTGCCCACCCAGGCCACCCCAGGGAGCAGAGATGTCCCCTGTCTCTGGGAGGTGGCCATGGGGACCCTCCATCAGTGAAGGCACTTGGGAACCCACCCAGAGGCAGGTTGGACGGGCTGGTCTGCAGGTCCCTGGTGGCCCCGTGATTCGGCGTGAGGGACTGGCAGCTGCTCATCTTCAAACTGGGCGAGCTGGAGGCACTGGGGAGGTCGGAACCTTTGGGTTTGGCCGTCAGGTTCAGCGGCTGCGAGGTCTCCTGTGGTGGAGGGGAGGAGGGGGGGGGGGAAGTGCAGCCCCCACAGCACCCCAGCCCGGGGGATGGAGGTTCCTTGGGGCTGTACCTGCATCTGGAGGTGGCCCGAGCCGGCGGGTCTCTTCAACGTGGGAGGAGGGGGGCTGTGAAGCAGCTGCACTGGGTAATCCACTGCGGGGAGCAGAGGGAGAGGGGTTGGGGGGGACAAGGCCACCCCACAGGGCTGGGACAGTCCCCGGGGGAACCCCGCTCACCTGGTTTGCAGGGGATGGGCTGGATGGGCAGCGCTAACTGGGAGTCGGGGGTGACGGGGAGAGGCTGGTGGCTGGGGGTGAAGGCAGGAATCATGACGTAGGGCATGTTGACCTGCTGGAGGGGAGATGGGGGGGTGGGGGGAGAAGCAGAGAGACCAGACAACGGCTGTGGGACACTGCAGGGAGGTGCCATCCTCTTGCCTGGCCCCAGGAGGGGACACCAACCCGGCACACGAGGGGGCTGGAGTCACCCAGCACGGGAGAGGGGGGCTCGGGGAGGTGTCCCCCCACCTTTACCTGGATCTGTTGCTGCAGGAGGTTGATTTTGTGCTGCTGCTGGATGAGCTGCTGCTGCTGCTTGGCGATCTGGCAGGGGGGAGACAGCGGGGCTCAGTGGCACCAACGGCAGTGCCGAGCTGGCCCTGGTGGGGCTACGGCCCAGCAAGAGCCACCCAACACCAGTACAACAAAGACAAGAGGTCTGCAGAGGGTCCCCAGGGCCGTGGAGAAGGCAGGCAGGGGGGGGTTGAGCTGCTCCTGAGCCATCTCCTGGGGCACAGGGAGAGAAATGGGCTGGGAGGGACGGTGTCACCCCCACCCCATGAGCTGCCCCCGAGCCACCTCCTGGGGCATGGGGAGAGAAATGGGCTGGGAGGGACGGTGTCACCCCAACCCCAGGGTGTGCCAGGAGTGTCACCCCTGCCCTTAGCATCGTATGGGCCACCAGAGAGGAAAAACAGGTGTTCAAAGAGCAAAGAGTCAGGAAGGAACAAGTGTGGTTCAATTATTTCAAGGAGTGCAATTCCCATCTTCCTTGACACTCATCCTCCTGGGATCAGGGAACAAGACAGGGAGTCTTTGGGAGGGCACGTTAAATGGGAGGGTTTCCAGGGAGAAAGCAAAGTCCTGCTGCCCCTAAAGCCATCTCCCCACCACTCCCGGGGGACCCTGTCCCTGCGCCCACAGCCAGCAGATCCCCAAGGGATCCCCGAAGGGATGGATGGTCCTTGGCAAACGCTTCCCCAGCGTAGGTTGCCCACAGGGACCGGAGCTCACCTGCTCTTGCTGCTGCCGTGCCAGCTCCATCTGCTGCTGCTGCTTCTCGAAGAGCATCGCGGCCATGTTCTTCTGCTCCGAGTGGGCCGTCAGGAGCTGGTCCCGCAGCGTGGACAACTGGTTGATCATGACAAGCAACTGGAGCTCCTTCTCCGCCAGGCTCTCCTGGGTTCCTGAAGGAAACCAAGCAGCTGTGGGTCAGGGGCTTGTGGAGGGTGAACAGCATCACCACCACCCTTGGGTGCTGGTGGGCGATGTGTGGCCAGGGAATGGCTAATGCATGGGGGGGCATAAAGATGCCCATGTGCTAAACCATCCCCTCTGTGCAGAGGCAAGTCTTCATCAGGGATGCTCCCCCCAGAAAAAAAATCAAATTCATGTTTTGCTTAAAAAAGTCCAAATCCCTACTAAATACGCGCACTTGCAGGCACATTTTGCCTCCCGCTGAGGTGGGAAATGCCGTGTTTCCAGCCCAAACTGCCCAGGCATGGGGTGCGGGAGGGAGGATGGTGGAGGTGGGTGGCCTGGGGGGGATCCTCACCTTTCACTTCCTTGGACTCGGCGGTGTTTCTGCCCAGCAGCCGCTCCTTCCAGTCGCTGGACAATAACTTCTCGATGGTTGGCATCACTGTCCGTGCCGGCCGGCACCGGGGTTGGCAGGGCAGGGAGAGGGAGAGGACAGGCAGGTGAGCAACCCATCCCATCCCGTCTCATCCCGTCTCATCCCATGCCATCCCATCCCGTCCCATCCCGTCCCGTCCCATGCCATGCCATGCCATGCCATGCCATGCCATGCCATCCCGTCCCATCCCGTCCCCTCCCATCCCACAGCTTTGCAAAAACAACGAAAAGCCCCAAGGGAGTGACAGGGGGGACCCCGAGGTCACACAAAACCTTTTCTTACCCTCCTTCAGGTTCCTGTTGAAGTCCAGCTTCTCCTGGCCACCGACGGCCGGCTCAAAGGCAGAATTCCTGGGCTCTGGCGCGTCACCGGTGGGCGAGTGGGACTCCTGTGACACACACAGCGTGACTGGGCACCCACTCCCACAGACGGGGACGTCCCCAGGTCTCCAGGCAGGAGACACTTGGCCGGTGGGATGCTCGGAGCCAGCCCTGCCCACTGACTGCTGGACCACACTCTGCCAGGCACGTTCCCCCCAGCCCAGCCTGAGAGCATCTCTGCTCCTTCTGCCACAAAACCTTGTTTGCTGGAGGTTTCTATAATTTATTTAGACTGCCCGGCTCCCCTGAACCCCATTCCCCCCAGGAGACAGCGTGGGGAATGGGAGGGTTGAGGTTGGTCAGAGGGAGAGAAAACCCAAAAGCAATTAAAAAGGGAAGCTGAAGGGACAGAGCATTTCTGGGGGTGGCTCCACGCCAAAGATGAAGCACTTAAATCCCAGGGCTGACCCGAGAGCACCAACAGCCACAAAGCCTTGAGGGAGCCTCAAGGTTTCACCTTCATTTCCTCAGGATGAGGAATAACCACCCGGGGAAACAACCACCCTCTCTGCTGGGGATGGTCCGGAGCAGGGATGGCCAGCAGGACCTTGGTCAAGACCAGTGTTTGTCACAGCCATGGGACTCACCTGTGGCAGGGCCTGGGGGTCGGTGCCCTCCCTCGGCGGTGGCCCCGGAGGGTCATTGGGATGGGGCTCGGTGCTGGGGGCAGCCCCCGGTGGGGACTCGTAGCCGCCCTCCTTCTTCTCCTCCGTCTTGATGGTGCAGTTCACCATGCTGCCCGCTCCATCCAGCTCCAGGTGGGGAGAAACGGGGCTCCTCATGGACATCCTATGGGGCGACAGGGTCATCAGCAGAGCTATGGGGCACCCCCTGGCCATGGGCATCCCTTTCCCAGCCTGGCCCCATACTGGAGTGCCCTGTGCTGCTGGTTTTTCAGGGGCAATGGTCTTGCTTTTTGCCATGACTTGGTGAAGCTGAGCTCTCATTCCTGGCTTCCTGAGCTCAGGTTTTGGCAGATTTGGGGCTCAATGGCCAGAAGGCCCCAGGGCAAACAAGCCCTTCATGCTTTGGGCTGCGGAGGGAAAGGAGCAACAAAGCAAAGCCCTAAAGAAAGCAATGTAAAGGGATGGGATTTAGGACAAATATGGGCACGTGCCTTCGTGTTTCATCTGGCAGCCCGGCAGAGAGAAACCCAAGGCTCATGGTGACAGAGAACCCTGCCAGACCCGAGCCAGCACCCCAGGGGTCCCCAGCTCTTGGCTCAGGAGTGGCCCCCCCTGCGCCACCCCAGGAGCCGTCCCTAGAAAGCCGTCAGGGCAGCAAAGCCAGTTTCCCGCTCCGACAGGATATGGAAATCCTGGCCCTGCTGAACAATAGCTGGGATGGCCACCAGAACTGCTCCTCCGGGAGTCCCCGGCACGGCACAGAGCTGGGACCAGCAAAAACCTGGCCAGAGCAAGGGGCTGGACCTGGAGAACCATTCTCCCCACCTTCACCAGTATGGCCACGGATGCTGGTCCTGCTGCCAGCTGCTCAGCCAGGCACCAAAGCCCATGAGCTGTTACAGAGCACGAGGTGTGTAACCCCAGGGGACCCCCAAGCACAGCCAGAGCCCATATTTTCAACGGGAACTGCCCCCCAATAATGTGTCACAACCATATCCCTTGCAAAGCCTCCAGCAGTGCCATGGCTGTGGGTGCTGGGCATGCCAGGAGCTCACCATCCCTTTGCCACCAAGGGATCAGCCACACATGGGGGGCAACCTGTAGCCACGTTCATGGGGACTCGTCTTCTTGGGGCCACCAAGAAGAACAGGAACAAATATTACCCTCCCCAAGCTCGTCATTCAGGAAGAAATAATGGGAAAAGGAGGCCCTTAAAGAAGAGATTTGCACCGGGCGCTGCCAGGACCCTGCAGGACCACAGGGGGTGCCGAGGTGGGATGGGGCCGTGGTGGGACGGGGAGAGCATCCTCCCAAGGAGCTGGCACCCCCACAGCCAGGACCCCCACACTCTGCTCCCTCTCACCTCCCCACACCCCGACGGCTCCTCGGGACCCCCCGAAATCAGGGCTGGGGGTGTGTGTTTGGGGGGGGGGGGAGCCGAGCCGGGGCAGCAATGACATAACAAACAAAGCCCAGCTCAAGCTGCGAATTAATCAAACCGCTGAAAATAAAACCTTCCTCTCAGGAACTTCAAACAAAAGAAACGAAAACAACAAGGCCGGCTGGGTAATGAAAAGCCAGGGCTGTGAATAGGGGACAAAAGGAAGTGGAACAATAGGGTGTTGGACAAAAGCAATAAAGTAAAGGGAAGTGTGACAGCTCCACAATAGGGCACTGTGCGCGCCAGCCTTTCTGATCTTAGCGGGGCTTTTTTTAATCTCAGTTCCCTTGCCCTCCGCCGAACAAACCATGGCGTTGGCCGGGCCCGACGGCTTCCTCCCGGCCTCGGCATCGCCCGGTGGCCACTGCATCCTGCGGCACCGCCTGGTCACCCCCCTAAAACCCCCTCTCTCATCCTGCCCTGGCTCACCTTGGCTGGGAGGGCCACCTTGGGCACGGGCCAGCATCCACCCGAAAGCCCCTCGTCTGCCTTCACACGGAACCGCACACGCTTGGCAGTGGCATCGTGGTGGTGGTGGTGGCCAGTGGGCAACCGTGCCCATGGCTCCAACCACCCACGGAGGGAGGATTTGCTGCTCCAGAGCCCGCGCTCTCCATGTGCTACAGGTGGGGAAACTGAGGCACGAAAGCACAGTGGCCGCAGCATCTTGCCCTGGGCGCTTTCCTAACCGAGGACCCACAGGTGTGGCTGCACAGTCACTCCCTCCTTCCAGCATTTTTGGCTTTTTAAAGGCAAAAAAAAAGAAAAAAACCCTTGCCCTCCCTCCCTGCATCTGGGATGGTGCCCGGGTGCCCAGGCAATGGGGTGGCAGCATCAGCGCTGCTTCACAGAGCGATGTCTTCGGTTTGAGACGCGCACAAAAGCGCCGTCCCACTCCTCCAGCAGGTCACATTTCTATTGTACCCAACCTCCCGGTGCCACTGGAAGTTTACTCTTAAAAATGGGGCCGGTACTTTAATAGGGGTCTGTTTGAAAGAGGCCTCATTGTGGATTTATTATACGGTTTGCCGAACAAAAAAAAAAATAAAAAAAGAGAGAAGAAAAAGGAGAAAACGGCGCCGTTATCTTGTTACAGGGCTGGTTCCTCACAGCCCTGTGCTGCCGGGCTCAGGTGCTGGGCTCTGGGGCTGCCTGTGGCAGACAATAGGGATGGGAACAATTGCCTTGGCACGGGGAGTGTAACAGATCCTCGCCTTTCATGTTTCCCATTTAATGAAGGGCGGAGGGGAAGAGAGGGAATGGCGTTGGGACGTGAAGTGCCAGCCCGAAGGAGCAAAACCTGGACCCACCAGGGAGCCACGAGTCCTCGGTGAGGGACCAGAGATCCCTGGGGCTGCTTCCTCCGGGCACGGCATTTTAGGGGGCACATCCCACAAGCATCAAAGCCCTAAAACTCTCCAGGCATCACCCCGAGCTCCAGCCCAGCAAGTCCGAGGGCTGAGATTTTTGGGATGGCGACAGCCAGCTGCTGGGCAGCTTTGCTTTCTCCATTCGTACCCCCGACCGGCACGTCCTGCCATTCTCCCGGTGCCCGTGCCACCCTTCCTGCCTGCCAGCCGATCCTATCGGCACCGTTTGTGTCGCGGCACAACAGCTCCAAAGGACAAGGGATGCCCAGGCGCCAGCCAGCCCCCACCCTGCCTGGCACCACAGCATCTTGGGGGGCACCGGCGAGAGGCCAAGACCCCCCCACCGGGCACCCTGAGCCCCCCCCAGGTCGCTTGTGCAGGATCTGGCTTTGCCGAGAAGGGGCTGCCAGCATCACCCCGCTGGCACAAAGCACCAAGGGGAAGAAAAGCCAAAAAGCTGCCCATAAAGGCACGGTGCCAGCTGGACCAGGCTTTCTTTCAAAATTTTAAATGATCCTGCGGAAGGATCATTTAAAATTTCAAGGCCAGGTTGGAGGGGGCTTTGAGCAATCTGGTTTGGTGGGAGGTGTCCCTGCCCAGGGTTGGGGGTTGGAATGAGATGATCTTTAAGGTCCCTTCCAACCCCAACCATTCTGATTCTCCCCACAGCAGAACCTGCCTATGGACATAAAAAAAAGGGTTTCTGTTGGCGGGGAGGCTGGAGGAGGAGAAGGATGGAAGGTCCACAGCAGGACCTGCCTGTGGACATAAAAAAAAGGGTTTCTGTTCACAGGGAGGCTGGAGGAGGAGAAGGATGGAAGGTGAGACAGGCTGAGGGCATTGGGGCTGGTCCCTTGGGCAGGGATGAAGCAGGTTCCGTGAAACTCAAGCTCTTTGCTAAAATACCAGAGAGTGCAGGGGGCCAGAAAGCCACAAACACAGAGTTTCCCGTGGTGCCAGGGTGCAAGGAAGAGATGCAGGGATGCTGGGCTCAAGGCAGTGGCATCCCGGGAGAGAGGATGGGAGTCCGGGAATGGTCCTGCATCCCTCCCCCATTCCAGAGCATCCTTCCCCCTTTCCAGAGCATCCTTCCCCCTTTCCAGAGCATCCTTCCCCTGTTCCAGAGCATCCCTGCCCCACACCACAGCGCATCTGCCTCACTATTGATCCTGCCCCTTGGCTGGAGGAGTTGGGCTGCCCAGGTTTTTGGGCTGGCCTTGCCCTCACTTCTCCCTCAGGCAGACCAGGGCACCAGGGCAAGCGCTTGGGCTTTTTTAAATTTTCCTCTTTCTCCCCAGTTACAACAGAAAGCTGTCGGTTCACGAGTCCCAGCAGACTCTGCCCTTCAGGAGTGGTACCCAGCCATCCCAAAACCAATCCAGCCAGCCAGCCACTCGCCCCACGGCCGCATCCCACCCCCACAGCCCAGGTAACCCACCCCCAACCACACAGGACAAAAAACCCAAGGGGAAAAACACCCCACGGGAGCAAAACCAGCAATGCTGACGAGAGCCGGGGCGGCGCAACTCCCCCGCTGTGCAGCCCCGTGCATCACTCCCAGCCCCCGGCACCCCCTCGAGAAAGGGCAGAGGAAAAAATAAGACACACACAGACGTTTTCTTCTTCCAAGAAGGGCCCGAGGAATCCCGGCCGGCCACCGGCACAGACAATAGCCCATCTCCTGCCAGACGAACGGGGCCGTTTTCCTGCCAGACTTGGAATGTCCTTTTGGGGCCGTTTCCGCCCCGGCGTGCCTTCACACATAAAAGAATGGATGGCTTCCTCCGCCGTGCTCGGGCAGGGATGGCCAGGGACAGCCCAGGAGCACAGCCCCGGCCGGGGGAAGTTCACGGGGCTGCCACCATCCCCTGGGGACACGGAGCATCCCGTGACGGCAGGTTATTCCCCGGGAAGGCGAAAGCGGGCGGCCGTGGGGGATGTGGGCTCTGCCACCCCCAAGCCGTGCCTGGAAGGGGATGCCAAAACATTTTCTACACACCGTAGGTGAAACGGGGCAGAAAGTGTAAGACCTTGGGGTTTGCTGCATCTGAAAAAGCAGGTTTTCAACCCAGAAGACATCTGGAGGCTGAATGTATTCAGCCCCAGAGATGCTGTCCCCAGGTGAGAGCCACAGCTCCACGTGTCCCTGATGGAGAGCAGCCCCTGGGAGCAGCAGGGCTGGCAGGACACGTGTGTCCCCCCCAGCCCTGAGCCCAGCAGTGTCACAGGCGTGCCCCCATCCCGTGCTGCCCCTCAAAGCAGGCTGCTGCAGCAATGGAAATGCTTGGCATTTCGGGGGAGCTCCAGCCGACGCTTTGCCGTGCACCTTCAAAGGCTGGGGTTTTTTTACCCTCTTACCTGCCAGCGGCGCTCCCACGGAAAGCCACAACCTCCCTCTGCCCAGAGGCTGCCGAGAGCTCACGTTGCCGGAAAAGCTGCAAAATCAACGCCGAGAAGGGAGACCTTTGGCAGTTGAGGGGTTGCATTTCGGGAGTGTAGTGCCCCAGGGGACAGAGGGGCAGAAATAAGTGCCCCCTATGCACAGAACTGGGCAGCCGGCTGGTCCCTGTGTGCCAAGCCCTGCCACAGGCAGGATGATGCCCACATGAGCTGCCCAGCGGCAGCTTCACCAGCCCAAAAAGACACCCCCTCAGACCCCAACCGCCCCTCTCCATTGGGCAGGATGATGCTCTCATGAGCTGCCCAGCAGCAGTTTCACCAGCCCAAAAAGACACCCCCCTCAGACCCCAACCGCCCCTCTCCATCCTGGCATGACTCGGGGTCCCATGGGAAAAGCTCTGGCGTCAGCAGAGGCTGGGATTTCCCACTGTCCACACACAAAACAGACGGGTCTTTGTCCAACCTCCATCCACCATCCACCATCAGTTCCCTGAAGGCAATCTCTTGCTCCCCCCAACCCCCCCCACAAAGAGTAACGGCCTCCGGAAACGTCTCTGCGGGGTCAGAGCGACGCGGTGATGCTCCGGTGAGAGCATCGGCATCACGGAAACTCCCGGGAACGGGCTGGCGTGGGGAGGAGCACGGGGGGTCACCCCTCTGCAAGGGCCACCACGAGCATCCCTCCTCCCACCCAGGTCCCCTCTGTCCCCTCTGGGACCCCCGTCCTGATGCCCTTGGGGTCTCCCCACTTCACCCCTGGACGAGCTCCTGTTGCCACAGCCCCAGTGCTGCCACATTGGGGCTCTTTGGGGGTGGGGAGCATCAATTCTCCATCTCCTGAGATGAAAAGCAGCAACGCAGGTCTCCTGTTACCGCACGGCACTTGGAAGATTTAACCCTAAAGCAATTACAACCATCTAGCATAGCATTTACTAATTCTATCCAAAAAAAAAAAAAAAACCCAACCCAAAACCCCAACCTGCCTTCTTCAAAGGCCTCCGGGCCACGGCCAGGGCTGCTAATGAAATGCATATCTCTCTGATGGATGCCAGCAGAGAAGCCCTTCCGAGGTTCAGGGGGAAATCGAATCAATCCTGCTATTCAAAACTGGAGGAGAGAGAGAAAAATAACCCCGTTATTAATCACTAAATTCACTTAAGTTGTGAACACTCGCAAGCCAGGGAGAAGAAGACGAAGGCTCGGGGAGGAGCAGAGGATGTGGGCTGCTGAGCAGAGCCACGCTGTGTCCTCCCCAGCAGACCCCAGCTCGGGGGAGGGTGTCTCAGGGCGCCAAGAGGCAGCAGATGGAGTCCTTAGAGGGCAGCTCTGTCCTCAGAGACCCAGCTCCTGCCTTTCTACACCTCGTGGAATAACCGCACTTGCCAAAATCCACCTCACCCCCTTGGGGACTGTCCTCTCCATCCTCTGCCTGGGCACCGGCCGGACCCGAGGCGGCGGTGATGGGCACACGGGATGCTCTGGGTGGGGAACAGGAAAACGAAACCTCCCGTGATAACGATAAGACAAGCACAACGTATTCCCAGTGTGTGTGGGCCACTTCACCCAGCCCCGGCGCACGTTTTAACTGGGCCACGTCCCACCCCCCTGATGCTCCCCCTACCTGGCCCATTACTAACAATTTCCAGCTCACTGCTGGTTTCACAACGCTCCTGCGGCGGCTTTTATCACCTTGCTCCGGTTTCTCAGGCAATGGCAGAGGGACACATCACTGCAAAACGCTCTCCTGCCTTGGCCTAAAGGCTTACTCACCCTGCCCACATTGCCCCCCCACCACGAGGGCTTTGCTGGGACCCCCCCATCACCACCCAGCCGTGCCTCCGTGAGCCAAAAATCCAGGGATGCTGCTTCCCCTGAGCCCGGCTGCGTTGGGATGCAGGAAAAAAAAAAAACCCAGCCAGTAGTTTTATAATTACCCAAACAATAAAATTAAATACAGTCGGATCCTTCCCCGGGTGTAAACTGGCACAGCTCCACCGCCTTCACAGCCACGACCCAAACACATTTTTCCTTTACTGGGACGAGCGACGGGATGGGTTTTGAGCAGGGGAAGAATTAAAAACTGAACCTCAGGTGGAACTTCCTGGCCGCGAGATTTATGAGACGGGGAATGAGCTCATCAGGGAAGCAGAGGAAACTCCGTCGCACTGGAATTATTTAAAACCCTGCAAAGCCCGGGGGAAGGAGGAGAGGGAACAATCCCAGCGACAGCCCACGTGATGGGACCGCGCTGGTCATTCCCGTTTCCTGGCCTCAAGACCAGACAGTCTGCAGGATGGTTTTTTTTTTTTTTTAATTTTTTTTTTTTTTCGCTTCCACTCAAGAAGACGTATCGATAAGGGAAAAAAAAAAATTCCCTTGCAGCATCTCCAGCTTGGCAGGCAGGTGGGTTTTTTCTTGTCCAGGGATGGTTACACCATGCAAAGCATCTTTAAGTGTCTGGCAGCCCCGGGGGCGTGCAGCGGGAGAAGGGGGGATGCTCAGCAGAGATGAGAGATTTGCTCCACAGGAGAAGTGCCGAAAGAAGGAACTCCCCTTCCCTGCAGCTCTAAATGCTCCAAGGAAAAGCGCAACCCCCTCAGTTTTAATATTTTTAAAGAGCCCCTTCCTACTGCCTCCCTCTCCTCTGCCATCCCTGCCTTCCCCTGCATCATAGGGGAAGTCAAAAATATCATGGCACGTTAACAAGGGCAGACACAGGGAAAGCACGAGGAGGGAGGAACTCTGAAGAACGGGTATTCACTCCTCCTTTCCTTATTTTTCTCCATCAGAAATAATTTATTAAAACGAGTTCCCTCCTTCGCACGAGGCTTCACTTGGATGCAGAAGGAACGGCAGCAAAACCTGCCCACCCTTTGCTCCCAGCCCTGGGGGTGGCTGGACCAGGCCCTTGGTCCCACTGATGCCACCAAGGTGGCGGATGGTTGGAGGAGCTTCCAGGTCCCTGGGACCCGGAGTGTGTCCTCGGGGCTGCTCCCAAACCCCCTCCCCCCCCCCCAGCACAGGCATCGGCGCCTTCCATCAACCCCCCAACCTCCCCAATTGAACCAGCCTCCATCAATCAACCAATCAATCAATTATGGGAAAGAAATTTTTTAAAAATCAGCAAACTCAGAGCAAATATGAAGCCTTCTCCACCTGGCAGAGGGAGGTGAAGGACGGGGACAACTCACCCAGCCCCGGTGGGACGGCGCGGTGCTGCTGGCACGGCACGGGCGCAGCGAGGGAAGGCAGTTCACACGTCTCCCTCCTTTTCTTCGCAGTTTCTGTCCTCCCCTCACCCAAAAGCGGCCCTCGGGCTTATCGGGGAGGCCAATCTCGGTGTCGTTTTTTGTGTAATTTCACTCACTCAGCGTTTCCAGGCAGAGCGGAGGGCACGTTTGACTCGGCTGCTTCGTAAACAATACTTTCCTATCGCATGACGGAGGGGCAAAGACATCTGACCCTTTTCCTCTCCTGCTTAGAAAAGAAAAGGGAAAAAAAAAAAAAGACCTGAGACTCAACCGCCTCAACAGTGATCTGCCCGGGCTGGGGCTGGGCAGGGTGTTGTGAACCCTTTTTCCATGCACCGTGACACAGGGGACATGGGGAGCTTGGTGGCACACAGGACCTGGTGCTATTTTGGCACAGCCCCATGGTCCATCCCATGCCACCAGCCAGTGCCCATCACCCCCTTGTTGTGTTTCTCATTGCATTTTACACCTTCCACTAATATAATTACTTCTCCAGCCAGCTCCAGGCTTTGCGGGGAGCTATTTTTTGGAGGGGCACCCCATTTTGTTTGCACTCCTGTTCCCCCAGGTGAGCTGGGCACACACGTGTGCACCAAGAGGATGCTCAGAGCCAGCCCTTGGTGCCCCTCATCCATGGCACGCAAGCCCATGGTGGCAAACAAAAGCCATGGGGCCGCTCTTCCGCCCGCAGCGCCCCACACCCCGCAGCCGGCAGCGCCCCGGAAACCTTCGGGGTCCCTTTGCACGGAGATCTGGAGCTGCAGCAAACAGGTTCAGGCTTGGACATGGAGGGACAAATGCTCCACGGAGCCCCTTCGCCCTCCCCAGCTGCTGCCTAAATTCGGGGCAAGGGGGGAGCTCCAGCTGCTGGAGCCACTTGACATTTCAGCAACAGATTATTGGTTGTTTTTTTTTTTGCTGGCATCCCACGAGCCGCCACCATCAACCTTCCTCGGAAAGAAAAGGCAGCCTGAAGGACGGGTGCTCGGTGCCAGCAACTGTCCATCATCTGCCCCAAATCATCACACCCTTATCCTAATGGCAGCCCCGACCCCGCTCCTGCTGCGCTTCAGCTCAGAGGGTCATGCCTGGCTGAGCCGGGATGAAGACCCCCAAGGAAAACGCTTTCAGCCTGACTTCTCCCCCTTATTAGTGCAAGCCTCAGTCACTTTGATGGTGTTACCCCTAATTTAAGGTGTGGATTTGTGGCTCAGGAGACAGCTCAGCCCTCCATTGCCCTGCGCCCCACGGGTGAGCCAGAGCATCCTCCAGCAGCAGCAATGGGGCTCGCAACCGGCATCACCTCGGTCGTGTTAACGGGGCAGAGAGAAATCACAGGGGGGAGCAGGAGTCTGGTTCATGCTTTTTTTTATCCCTATCCTTATTTTGGCTTAGGGAGAGACCCCCGACTCCGGGGGACCCCACCACCACCCCATCCCACTGCTGCCCCACGGGTGAGGCAGAGCATCCTCCAGCAGCAACGGGGCTCGCAACCGGCATCACCTCGGTCGTGTTAATGGGGCAGAGAGAAATCACAGGGGGGAGCAGGAGTCTGGTTCATGCTTTTTTTTATCCCTATCCTTATTTTGGCTTAGGGAGAGACCCCCGACTCCGGGGGACCCCACCACCACCCCATCCCACTGCAGGACCCATGGGATCCAGCAGCAGCGACCCCCCAAACCGTGACCCTCCTGCAGGGCTGGGTTCTCTCCTCACCCCTCCTCTCCCCTCTTGCTTTGGGGGAAGTAAAACCCATGAAATCCTGATCGTGCAGCAGCTCCTGACCTGGACTCCACTCCTCTGGAGGAGCAGGGAGATTTGGGAACAAGCTTTTACTGGCCCGTCAGGATCGTTTTCACCGCACACAAAAAAAAACCCCAGCTCAGAGGAGGGCAGAGCCACTCCAGCAAGAAGCTCTCAGCCCTCCCCGTCTGCGAGGGGGTGTCTGGTTGCCCCCCAGCCAGCCCGGGGCTCCAGCAGGACACACAAGGGGTTCTTTGTGCCCGGTGCCACCTGTCCCCCCAGCCCCGTATCCCCATTTCCCCCTGGGGTCCCTGAGCCTGTTCCCTCCAGCGAGGGGCTTTGGCAGCTCCTGCCTCCACGTGCTGCCTTCCCCTGCACGGGGCTGTGGGCAGGCAGGGACACACACCCCACTGCCACTCGTGTGCCCTGGGGTGGGTGTCTGGGGCACACAGAGATGATGAGGAGGACCCAGAGACATTTCACGGCCACCCCGGCTGCCAGAGCCACGTGGCTGCTGGGCTGGGAGCCCCACGGGGATGGGTCAGCCTTGCTTTGCTCCCCCTAAATGAAGGATGGAGAGGGCTGTAGGGACCGTGGGGCTGTGGTTTGCAGCCCAAGGTGCTCCCAGGCAGTGCTGGCTCCAAGCTGTGTGTTCCCCATGGCTGTTGCATCAAGAGCCATGCCCAAGGTCCAGCCCCAACTTGAAAACACATCCCTGCCCCGAAAAAATACGTGTTCCCCAAGTCAGTGGAGCCACGTGGCTGCTGGGCTGGGAGTCCCACGGGGATGGGGATGGGTCAGCCTTGCTTTGCTCCCCCTAAATGAAGGATGGAGAGGGCTGTAGGGACCGTGGGGCTGTGGTTTGCAGCCCAAGGTGCTCCCAGGCAGTGCTGGCTTCAAGCTGTGTGTTCCCCATGGCTGTTGCATCAAGAGCCATGTCCAAGGTCCAGCCCCAACTTGAAAACACATCCCTGCCCCGAAAAAATACGTGTTCCCCAAGTCAGTTCCCAGGATGGACCCACAGACCCGAGGCAACGTGGCAGGAAGGACGGGGCAGGGGGAGCCCAAAGGCCAGTGTTGCACCTGGAGACCCAAATCACAGCCCGAGAGTCTCCAAAGAAAAGCAAATATTCCTCTGCCTCTGCCCATGCTACAGCCTGCACAGGTAGGGATGGGTCCTCCAGCCTGGGGACCTCCCCCAAATTAACTCTCTGGCTCCTGAAATCCCTGTGTCACGGCATGGAAAATGAGCAGGAAAGGTCCGGAGCAGCCATCTCCTCAGGAATTCACCTGCGGAGCTGCCCGGGGGCAGAAGCCCAGATGGGCGAGTAGGGCCCTGCCTGGCCCTGCCCGTAAATCCCCTCCCGCACAGACAGGCACACTCGTGTGCAAGCCCCTGCCCCAGGGGACTGCCTTTCCGCCTGGGCGTGCAAGGTAGAACAATAGGGCCGAGCCCTCTATTGTTCCAGACAAAAGATAAGCTGGGCTCTGGCATTCCCCTACGCCCTCCTGGGCAGGCAGGGAGCAGGCAGGGAGGAGGGAACAGGCAGGGAACAGGCAGGGAGCAGGCAGGGAGCAGGCAGGGAGCAGGCAGGGAGCAGGCAGGGAGCAGGCAGGGCTGCCAGCCTGGGCCAGGGCAGAAGGTCTTCTAAACCAGCTCTAAACCTGCTCACTTTTAGCAGGTGAACCAGAGGGTGACCCTCCTGCCCAGCCAGGAGCTCACACACACCCCCCATCCCCGCAGCCACGCTCACCCTGGGCTTTGTCCCAGCTCCCCGTGGTCCCCAGTTTCTGCTGCAGTGGCCTCAGGAACCCATGTGTCTGTCCCCCAGTGTCAGGGCACTGGGGACAATCTGTGAGCTCAGGCTCTTCACAGACCTCTCCTGTCCTCTCCCCACCCCGAGCAGCTTCTCCTCTCTGCATGCCGCGGGGACACGGTGGGGACAAAGCACCCTGCCAGCCATGGGGTGGTGGCAGGAGGGAGGTTGGTTGCCCAATACTTGGGGACTGGCTCCCTGGTGGCCTCGCCAGCTGGCGTGGAGAGCAGAGCAGATGTTTCTGAGCACCCCAACACATCCACTGCAGGCCAACCCGCACCATCACCCAGCTCAGCTTCTTCAAAAAAGTGTTTTTTCCAGGCTCAGAACAAGGTGACAACCCAGAGCCACGCTGTGCCACCACCACCCAGGCAGAGCAAGGGAGGAAGACCAGGGGGGATGAGGGCTCCTTGCTGCAAACCCAACCCCAGGCAAAGAGCCGCGCGAGGTGACAGCGCTGGAGGCCACCGGGGCTGCAATGGGTGCTGTGAAAAGCCTCGTCTCTGCTGGGAAATGTCCCCGCCATGTCACCTGCCCGTGCTCGGCCCCGCTGACTCCCCCGGGTTGACTTTCATGGCCGAAGAGTTTCGATTTCTGGCTCTCACCAGGCAGCAGCACCGACCCCAGCGGCGGCAGAAGCTGCTGCCTGGTGCTGGCAACACCATCGGGTTCCTCCATCTACCTCCTTCTCCATCTTCTCTTCCTTCTCCTGTTGGGCTCAGCCCAGCTCCCCAAAACCCCATTTTGCAAGGGCAAAGAGCATCAAATCCTCCCCCCCCCAGCCTCGCTGCCGCCCCACGTTCTACTAATTCTCTTCGCTATATTTAATTTACCATCTTAACCTCTTTCCTCCCAACAGACAACAAACTGCCACGAGCTGCCTTCACCGGGTTTATGGATGAGCCACTTTACCTCGTTCCTCTCCGATAGACATGTGGGGGTCTGTGGGAGGGGGGGAAAAGGGGGGCTGCCTGGTCTCTGCAGCCACCAGACTGCATCTTTGCTAACGGGCACACAGGCCCGGCCGGTAACGGAGCATTAAATTATGGAGAAACAGAATTTCAACTCTTTCCGATCCATCTCCCCGTTTGCATTCTGCAGCCGAAGGGCTGCCCGCAGGAGTAGGGGACAAGAAGGCAGGGAAGGAGGGAGCTTCCCAACAGCACCAATGTTAACAGAAGCAGTTTTCCCCTGGAAGAAAACCAACACATTTGGGCTAAAAGCAGCTGCAGAGGCATTCGGGGGCCGAGGTGCTGGGGGGTGCTCGAAGGCAAAGCTATTTCAGCTAATACTCCCCCCCACCTCAACCCCGTGCTCCAGCACACTTGGACTAAATGCTTTATTGAGGCAGATTCAGCCTCTCCATCCCCTACTCAGGTTTTTACTGACCCATCCAAGCGGTGGGGGCATTTCTGGTGTGAGCCAGGTC